TTTTGGTCTTTTCTTCTTTTTCCTCCTTTGTAATGATCTGTTGTTTCTTTTTCCCCCTTCTTGGATGATATTCTTGATATCTTCCCACAGCTCATTTGAATATCTGCTTCATAGACCACGTACTCTTAAAATTCTGCCATTTCTCTTAAACAGGTGAAAACAGTTTATAGTTCATTTACCAGTGAACAACAAACTATAGGTTGAACTTGCCCTGAAATATAGTGGTTGAGTGTTCAGCTATGAACTGAAAGGCTGAATTTTATAAGCTACCCTGCCAAAGAAAGACTTGGTGGTTCACTCCCGTATGATTAGAGCTTTTGGACACTCTTTTGGCATTTTGTTCTATATAATATAAGTTGAAATCAGCTCAATGGTGGTAGGAACTGTTTGATAATATATTGATTTTACTTGTGGGTGTTTTTAAAAAAAAAAAGGAAAAAGGAAGTTTAAAGACTAAGGTGCACATGATATAAGGCATGATCTTTTTAATTTTTTTTATGTGTCTAAAAGTTGAGTAATAAATGAAGAAGACCAAAGAAGAATTGATACCTTTGAACTGTGGTGCTGGCAAAAATACTGGATATCCCATAGGCTGCCAAAAGAAGTGCAACCTGAATGCTTCTTAGAGGCAAGAATAGGGAAGCTTTTTCTCACATCCTTGGGCATTTTGTCAAGAGGGGCCAGTGTTGGGGGAAAAAAGGCATGTTGGCAAAGCTAAAGTATCTGAAAGAGAGGAAGATCCTGAACAAGATGGATTAACAGAGTCTGCAACAGTGGGCTTGATCATGACAGACTATGAGGATAGCCCAGGATAGGGCAGGTTTCTGATTCGCTGTTCATAATAGCATCACTATGAGTTATAATTAATTCAGCAGCACCTAACAACAACAGAGATAAAAAGAAAATGTATCAATTTTACTAAGTAAATATTATTTAACAACAGTGAAATAAAAGGTCAGTATATAATGATAGATTTAATGTGAACATTGCCCAGAGTAGCCACTGGGGATTGTAGATCTTGTCTTTCTTCCAGAACTTTATCTGAACAATGATGAAAATAACTCTTAAAATCTTAAGAGTTAAAGAGGCTGGGTCATTGGAAACATATGAAAAATATTTTATAATTTTGTTTTCTTTCATTGCCATTGAGTAAGATATTATTGAAGAATACATAGGGTTGCTATGAGTCTCAGGCGACTCAACAGCACATAACATCAACAATATTGACAAATTAAGTGATGATTAGTATATGTAGTTCAAATTAATTTCCTTAATTTAAATCATGTTTAAGGCTATGTGCTCACCATCTTTAGTGCTACATGGCTAATTTAACCAATGTATCTTTTATTGAATAAATACTGGGAAGGATTTGCCATTCAATAATTAAATTTACTTATAAATTTATTTTCCAGATATGCTCAGTGAAGGAACGGCATGCCAATGAAATGAGAGACTTACCGAGTCGCTATGTTGAAATAGGTACGATTTCACCGTTTGTTTTTTTTTAAGTATTAAACTTAAAAAGACTATTCATTTTATGGAAGCATAAAACAATATTCTTTTAAAGGCATCATCTCTTGATACCTTAGTTAAAATAAATCCAGACGTTTTGAGTTTTGAATCTTCCATACTGGAGACATATTTTTATGGTTATATTTCTCATAATTATACACTAACTTTGGAATTGTTGAAATCTAATAATTGGATTTGGATACGCCTATGGTTATGGTATGGTCTAAGGAGC